CTCTGCAAACATAGCTGGGCTTTATATACCATGTTGGCTGTTATGCAGGGAGGGATGTATAGCGCTTTCAGGCATAATTCATAGAAAGCATTAATATAAAATGCTGTTTGAGACTGTTCAAAGTGTATTTGAGATCCCCACTGTTGGACAGGTCAGGCCAATGCTGTCCCCGTGCTTTGGCACTGGTGGCAAAAGTGTGTGTGGTTGAATGGTCTTGCTCAAGCCAGGGGGTCTGGTCTAACTTCTGCTCTTGTACAAGTTTGGCTGAGTTATTGGGTGATTTTTAAGCAGGTTGGGTTCATCTTCTGCCTCAGTTTCCACACTTACAGAGCGTGGCTTATAGCTTAAAAAGGGAAAGAGTAATGCATTAACACATCCATGCTTGCAAGGCACTTGAAAAGTGTTAAACAGAACATGGTGTACTCCTACAAAATACGTTGATGAATTCACCATCAGCGATCTGCTGGTTCATTAGGAACCTTTGAGAGATGTGCCTTCTCATTAGCCTGGTACAAACCAACCCACTGCAGGAGGGAACAAGCTGCTTCAAACAAGGTTCAACTTTCTGCCAGTTTAATCTTCATCTCATTGACAGACTTCTGATTCTTCATTTAATTCCAGTTCCTTAAATGTTTGCTGATATCCTATCTCAGTCTCTCTGTTCTATTTCTTTTTGTGCTTTCTTTTTTGTCATGGGATAGAGGAATAGATCATTTTTTTTCCCAGTGTCCATTAAAATTCCCTTTGCCTGCAGTGCAGTATGCTCTATAAAAGAGATGAACCTGCTGCAAGTGAAATAAGCTGATGCTGCACTGTCTTTTTAGAGCAACAAAAATCTTTATAGATTGTTTTTCCCAGTGTCATGAATCTCCTTCAAAGTCATAAGTCACTGTTATCAATTAATATACTTAATAGTCTCATTTTCAATTCACATTCAGGCCATGGCAGGTGCTTGAAAGCTTTGCCTTTCAGACATAAAATGTTACCTTGTATGTGATGGGGATGCTAAAGGAGGGGGCGATTCAGGAGCAGGAAGACGTGTTAAAGTGCAGCACCTGAGGCCTTCTTGTTTTCTGAATTTACAGTCTCAGGCTGGCAGTCGTATAAATGAGTGATGCTCTCTGATGTTCTCTTCCAAGCAGGCTATGAAATTGGCAGGGAGTCTTCAGTTTTGTGCTGATGTGTCCAGAATTCAAATAATTTGATTCTTGGGTATAATGACAATTGGAGGCACAGTATTACCTTCAGAAAAGAGATGGGAGAGACAGCTCCTGTATCCTGTATTGAATTAACACCCGATTCCCATTTACTCTCTCCCCTGAAAACTCTATTATGCAGGGCTCTTATTGCCCTTATTCAAGGGCATGGAATTAAAAAAGTGATATCGATGGTAATGCTCTCATCTTCCTACCGTGACATTGAATAATGGGGACAAAGAAGGGAAATCTTGAAGGATGATATGCCTTTTAAAATACTGGTGATATTCAAAACATAGAATGGACAATGCATTTGAATATCAACTGATGAAGACAGATTCAGATTTTTGGGCTTTTTGCTTGTGACTTTAAATCATCTTTGCTTTCATTTTAGCCAGTGGTTTTGCAACATTTTATTTTCTTCTTATTCAGGAGAGAGTCCTTACTGAAGGAGGACAGAGGTGAAGTGTTGGTTATGCTAATTCCAAGATAAACCTCTTCTTTCCCCTCCTGGATCCAGAGAGAACAAGTTAGGAATCTGATGGGAAAAGTCCACCAACAGACTGGTATAATTACACAGGTAGAGTATACTCTGCTCAAGTGGAGGCTCTTCTTCTGGCACAAGCTGTCATTTTCCAGTTCAGCTTAAGCTCTTTTTGAAGTTACATAGACCAGATGAAACCAATGGTCTTATAACAAAAGAACATCCACTGTGGACCCTGCAGTATCCTTCCTTTACAGATATATTCATTTAGATTTAAAGACATATTTTCCAGTACAAGTGATACAGAAAATAATAAGTGTATTGCCATTAGAAAGTTCTTACAGAATAAGTGATAATAGCTCCATTTTATAGGCAGGTAACAGAATAATTAAATACCTTGCCAAAAGTCACACAGGAAATCCTTTCTGAGGTGAGACCAGAACATGGATCTCACTTTCATTAATGCAAAATCACAGCCTCCGTGAACCATTGACACTAATCCCAACCCAGATGTTAATGCGTCCCTTACACTAAATCTTCAGTCAAACCTCTCTGGGTTGTGGAATCACAGAAATCAGCTCTGCAGCGTGCCTGAGTAAGGCTAAAAATTACACTGGAAATGGTTTAGGAAACAATTGTCAAAACTCTCACCTGTAGTGATACCTGTTGATTCTAGCTATATTGATGCTATCATTATGCTGATGTAACTCTGTGATTGCAGTTATATTATATTCAATTATACCATCATGAAGTGATCAGGGTGTGGCTCAAAACATCTTTATAGCAATTCTGCTAAGTCAAAATCATGGCTTACTTTGTCAAAGGGAAGATCATTTTATCTCCCACTGCCCCTTGCATGGTCAGAATTATCAACAGAGGGCTACCTGTGATCTGAAACATGTGCTCTTGGTTCAGAGACTCTTCAGTGGGCAGCAACATGGCGTGGGGCAGAGCTCTTGTCTCCTTATCACTAGTGTGTGACTGCAGAACAATCAGCTTTACAGCTGATTGCCATCATCTGCAAAATCTTCTTGCTATGAAGTAGCAGAAAGAGTCCCTCACTATGAGGTTGGTGAGACACTGGCACAGGCTGCCCAGAGAAGCTGTGGCTGCCCCATCCCTGGCAGTGTTCATCCCAGCCGGTGTTACTGGATGGACGGGTCTTGGAGCAACCTGGTCTAATGGAAGATGTCCCTGCGCATGGCAGGCAGTTGGAACTAGATGATCCTTAAGGTCTTTTCCAGCCCAAACCATTCATTCTATGATTGTATGTTCATGAAGCTGTAAGCACTCCTCTGCCCTGCTTGTACAGTAGTGCTATCAAGGCATGTTTTAGGTGGGGGGAAGCAGAGGGGGTGAAAGAAAAAGGACTCTCAGAGGAACATCAGAATGATATGTCAGGGCATGATGACCTGGAAGGCTTTAAAAGTGTCTGCCATGAAGAGCTCACACAGTGAGCTCTGCACTCACCAACCTGAATAATAATTGTCGCTTTCATCCTGTGTTAGCATCCTGGTTACACCCACCAACCTGTGAAAACTGATGAGGGTATTGAGAAAACTGATGAGGGTATTTCTAGCTGGACTAAATACTTGCAAGGAGCCACTGCAGGTGACGAGCTGTATTTTAACTTGGGTATATAGCTTTCTTGCCTGTGACTGGCAGGGATGTTTTAGGCTAAGAATTATAATTATAACCAGCTGCCTGTGGCCTCCAGAGGTCAGCATATCACTTGAGAAGAGCTAAATCACTTTTCAAGCATGATCTCATTAAGTATAGTTTCCTATATTGTTGGTAATAAGATTTAAAGGTTTTGTCCCCAACACTACTTGTGACATCAAAAGCAAGAAAAGAAATAAGAGTTCTCAGAATATCCATTGTAAAAAGGAAGATGTTGTCATTGGTCAGTACTGCCACTTGGATGGGAGATCCCTTAGGTGACAAAATTGGACAAATATCCGTATGTTTAGGTGCTATTCCTTCCATGTTAGTACTGATGGGGTGAGTGGACATGCCAGATGTCTTGAGTGGACTGTCAGACTTGTTCAGCTCTGTTAAAAGCTCTATTTTTTAGTACATTTGAACACAATATGCAGTTCTAGTGGCACTCTAGAAAAAAGCAGAATGTAGAACCAGAAAACACACAGAGATGAGAAACAGATTATCAGAGGCGTGAAATGGTTTTCATGCAAGAAGGAACTTGGATTATTCATTTCAGAAAAACCAAGTTGGAAGGAATATGACACAGGTCTTTTAAACCAAGAATAGTTTGGAAAAAAGGTGATAGGAAGTGGCCATTCCTATCTCTCACAATACGGTGGTCTGTGGTGGGTGTTATTCAGAGGGGTCTGCAGGAAAGCTCTCACAAAGCTCACTGGACCTTCCTACAAGCTCGAAAGGCTTCATGTGGGGTCACTCCCTGCTTGCCTGAACATCCACTACTTGTCCCTGAGGGAGTAAAATACCAAATGTCAACTTTTGCCTGACCAGGTGTACTCCTTGTGTTCTTAGTATTACTGCAGTGCTTTTTGCATAGGAAGCAAGTGACAATGGTCTTTGCAGGAAAGGTTCTGAACTTAATTCGTCTAAATACTAGCAAGTATTGATTTGCTCTACTGATGTTATACTGGATTCAGTAATCCAGAGCAAAACCAGAATGGGCTACTTTTCTAAGAGACCTTATCTTACATGATCTCCTCTGTGATGAGATACACTCTGATGTGTATACTCAAATGTATTTCTCTCTGGGCCACCAACCTCAAAACATCCTCATAAACACCAAAGAGCCTCACTGTCTCATGGGTGATGGAGAGGGACTCTTCATCAGGGACTGTAGTGATAGGACAAGGGGTGATGGGGTCCAACTTAAATAGGGGAAGTTCGGTTTGGATATAAGGAAGGAGTTTTTTACTGTGAGGGTGGTGAGGCCCTGAAACAGGCTGCCCAAAGAAGTGGTAAATGCTCCATCCCTGACAGTGTTCAAGGCCACATTGGACAGAGCCTTGGTTTAGTGTGAGGCATCCCTGCCCATGGCAGGGGGTTGGAACTAGATGATCTTAAGGCCCTTTCCAACCTCAACCATTCTGTGATTCTATGATTCTATGATTTCTCCTACAACACTAATTTATCCTCAGCATGAAGAACTCGGCAAGGCTTACTGAGACATTGGTGTTCTCACATTATGTCTTTGAAGCACAACCATAAGTGGATCTATCAGGCATCAGCTGTAGACAAGAGTGTGTAAATCTTGCTACAGAACATAAAATAAATAATAGAAACAGAAAATCCAGCCCAACTCCAAAAGAAATGAACACCACCACTCAAATCTTCTGTTATTTTTATTAAAGCTGCAGAGTCTTACTACACACAACAAATATTTTATCGATATAATCTAAGTTAATAAAATAGTTGAACAACTCTTTAGATTTATATTTGTATAGAAATGATCTGTGGAACACCTCATCTTGAAACAGCAGTGCCAAAAAACAACTATTCAGCAGGATTCTTTTAAAGAAGAGTTTGGGACTAGAGGATGCACTGTTCATTCTCAAAGAAAACAAAAACTCCATGCAAAAATAACCCCCACCCTCTTCCCTCTTTCTCTTCTACCCAAAGTGTAAGGCCATATAGAAAGGCCACGGAAGTGATGGCCCTTTCTTCCCAGTATTCTTCCTCATGTCTACGATAGGAGCTGTCATCTAAATTCAGTAACTAAAACAAGATGAAAAGAAAGTTCAATTGCACAATCCTAGTCTGCAGGTGACAAAGTCATAACATCTCTTTACAGAAGTCCCTACTCTTTTTCCAGTTAGGAGAATTCATCATTGTGTTGTGTTTGTTCCCCACCTCTCCCCTCGTGGCTGATGTCAGTTATTGTCCATATGCCTTTGTTAACAGAAGTCAGTCTATCTACTATTGCGTCAGTCTCCCTTCTTCACCTATTTGTAGTTTAGATTCTATGTAGCACTGCCTGCAAAGAGCCGACTCCGTGGTATTTTCCCCCCATTTTAGACAAAGCCCATAGCTCAAGTGATGATCTCCTCACTGCAGCTACGGTGTTGCCCACGAGATGGCTTTTGTACACTATGAGGCATGTCTTTGCTAGATCATTCCATTTATCTTAGTCCACTCGTAGATGTCCTGTTCACATACTATGTCTGAGTTGATGAGGAGGTATCTGTCCCCAACACAGAAATGTTTCTGGCAGGCAGCACATTTGAAGCATTCAAGGTGATACACTTTGTCCTTCACTCGCATGGTCATCTCATAAGCGCGGATTCGCTTGTCGCAGGAGGCGCAGAGGCCGTCTTGGCCAAAGAGCCTGAAACAACAACAGCAGAGAAGTCAGCAGAGTTCCTTTGCTGGGGAGAAGGGAAAAACCAAATCAAAACCAAGAACACAGCATCAGTGCTTTGATCCATTAGTCACTGTGTTGGCAAGGTAGATGAGGTCACATGGAAAGCTGCTGAGCAGAACTCTAAACTTTGCCATACCAAAAATTGAAGCAGGAAGTCCAAGTTCCTCATCTATTTTCAGTATAATTGACTTCTCTAATCAATGACTTTATCATGAATTGCTGAGTAGCTTCAGGAGGAGTAAAGGTTTCCCAGATCAAAGCATAAAGTTGTGCCATGCCAATACTTCCACTTCTGTGATCATTACAAATTACCTTTCCATTGATAAATTTTACCTATCTTCAGCTGTTGCTATTGTAGTTTACAGAAAGGAGTTGACACAAACTATGATCTAAGACCTCCCTGTCTCTTGTCACTGCCTCCACACTGGAGGCTCTTTCAAATCCAGAGATTTCCGTATCCATGAAGTCACTCCTGCTGCATTTCAGAAGGATACATGCTAAGACTATATATTTATCTATGTGTGAATGCCAGCTTTTCATGCCGTGCTGGCTGCACATTTGGTACATCAAATCATTAAGAAAAAAGTATGAATATATATTTTTTCTTGGGGGGGGGGGGAGAAGAGCTACATCCTACTTGTTCAATCTATAAACCTATTAAGTTTGACTTCTGAGTTTCCCTAGTAATTCTGGAAAGAGTTTTTCCACTTCCTACACTTCTCTTACTTGTGCTGTGCCCGCTTTATATCATCTTCTTAACTGGAAATAGAAGGCCTGCTAAATTAAGAGATCTTGAAGGGGAAACGACATCATTTCTTTCGTCTACCAGGAGATGGCAGCGTTTACTTCTGCCCAACGAAAGTAAGCCTAAGGTTATACAAAGATTGCCAAATTTTGCATTGAGGAGGGAAGATATTATAGGTTGCATTATTAAAGAAGTAAAAATGTTGAATTTCACTGCCAGACAATACATTCATTGTATTCCCATATTTCGGTTGCTTCCATTTTGAGATTAAAAGTACCTGGAAACTGTTGGGTATGGAGAGTATTTACAAGTGGTCCCATTAACAAAACTCAGTTCTTAGTCTCTGCTTAGCAAAATTCCCATCAGTAAAGCTCAGGAATTAGGAACTCCGCTGAGATTTTTGCTTAATTTTTATTAGCAGGTAAATCAGCCTTCAGCAGGGGAGCTGAAAAAACATCAAATACCATCATTCTGTTACACAGACTTCCTGACACATTGGAGATCCATTAGAATTGGTACACAAGCAGCACAGCAAAGATCAATGCCCTTTAATTGTAATCAAGACTGTAAAGATCCTTTGTTACCCATTTTTGTGAACGATCTTAATCTCAATTTAATCCTTCTGCTTACAAATTCTGGCAGAACAGACAGGCAGAGAGACATTAATGACAATACTTGTGACAAGTGTATTTGTAGGATCTGATTCAGGAAATTCTTGTCTATTCAGGACCAATTCACTGTCATTAAAAAATGTGGGTTTTTTTCCCCAACAAGATTTTAAAGATTTAACCTATAAACAACTTCGAGTGACCTCATACCACAGATAACCTCTATAACTTACCAAGTAACCTCAGAAGTACCATAAAGCATCTCAGCATGAACCCCCCAAATATATGAGCCCATATTATAAACCTGAACTTGCAGGCAGTGCTGTATTACAACTGTGACTGCTGTCGGGCTTTACATTTAAGAGTAATCAAAATGAATTCTTTATGGGCAGGCTCTTGATCAACCTGGTCTAGTGGCAGGTGTCCCTGCTCATGGCAGGGGTGTTGGAACTGGATGATCTTAAGGCCCTTTCTAACCCAAACCATTCTATGATTCTATGGCCCTTTGCTCACTAGCTGTACTAATTAAATGAATTAAATGGTAAAAAAGAAGGGGAGTGAGGGTAGAAGGAGCGGGTTGTGTACCTGAGATAGTCCCTTCTGCAGAGCTTTCTGCCCAGTTTGTAATACAACCGTCTCCCCACCTCGCCCAGCCTGCAGCCACAGAGGTCGCAGCTGAGGCAGTCTTCGTGCCAGTACTGGTCGATGGCTTTCAGGAAGTAGCGGTCCCCAATGTTCTGTTGGCAACCGCCGCATGTCAGCAGCGAGGGTGGAATTTGGAGGACTTCATCCACCGGCTCCCTGAGGGAATGAAAGAATCATTGCAGAAGGAAAACGTACCCCGAAAGCATCCACATCAGAAGAAGGAGAAGGAAAACCAAAGTGAAACACAAGATAGGTCATGTTAGAACAGGGATTACACCTTCTTTTTCTCCAGTGGAATAAATGATTTATCCTTTTCCTTAGAGAAAAAAAAAGGATCAGCTTAAAATGTAAGGAGTTAGTAAGAGTACCCCCAAATGTACTAACTTACTCGTTTTTCCTCAAAGAATAATGCATAAACCTGACCGTCTCTGTATCACCCGCTTGCATTCATTGCTATGAAGGCATCTGCTACTTTACTCAGACATTGTTGTCTGTGTAGCTCCATCCTTTTTCTTCTACTGGCCAGCACCTGAACTGCTCAGTCATGTTTCTCAATTCATGTCGTTCTTACAAAAGAAATACCTTTCCCATAACACGATTCTTCCATAATTAAGGATTGCCCTTTGCAAAAGTGCAATCAAAAAGCTGCCTGGATTCACCAGTTCATAGCTATGCTGGCTATGACCGATGCCTGCCAACATCTGCAAAGTTCCTGCTATATTCTTCACCTTTCCAAATCATTCTGATTTGGCAACAGCTTATAGCAGTGCTTTAATTTCCAACTGTAAGTGACCTGATCAACACAGATAACCTCTGGATTTACCTGTAAATTACTGAAGAACCCCAGCAGAACAATAAAGTGTTTATGATGAATCAAAAAATACACCAGCCCATATCATAAGCCTGAGCTTGCAGGTTTTGGCTGCAGTGCTGCTGGAAGCAAAGGGGATTTCTGCCTCACCAAGGACTAAAGGACTGGAAAAGGCACCTAAGGGATTTTAAGTGCAGTCAAGTTTCCATTGGGAAGTGTAAATGTGAAGACTAATTCTGAGGATGTTATTTCTCTGAACAGCATGATATGAATAAATACAGCAGATGAGGCCGTTGCCCAATGGGTTTAAGTTTTGCTGCTGTTTTTAACAGCTGGAGTTTTACCTCATGTTACTGCAGGACTTCTTTTTTCCCTTCAGCTAAGGATATGAACCCCTGGGATGGGTCTATACCAACGCAACTCTAATTACTTGGGATTTACACATCCCTGCATGAAAAGAGGCACAATCATTGTGATACCAGCACTGACTAGTCACATACCTTATTTTTTTCCCTTTCTGAAAAGCTCTGAAATCGAGGATGGTTCTGGTAATACCTGGGGATAAAACAGGAATTTCCTTCAAAGCTACTTCCTTAAGGAATTTTTATCTTTGCCTTTTTGTGTAATTTTACAAGTTCTGCCCAAAACCAGAACAGCAAAATACATTTGCAGCAACCTGGTGCTGCCACCAAAAGCCTCATCCAAACCCCAGGGAAGTTAATAAACTATTGGATCAATCCTTTAAGCACTTGCTTAGTTTCAGACCTGTGGCTATCAGCAAGGAAGGTGTATGTCTGCACGTGAATGCTCTGCTGGATGGTGACTGAGTGCTTAATATGTGGTAGCCAAAGTTCTTTTTGGAGCTCCCAGCTTGTCTCATAGGTTATTGGTTTCTCACTCAGTGCTTTGTTCCTGGTCTGTCTTCCCTTGGGCTGGTGGGGCAGAGGGGACCTGCACTGATGGAGAAGGATGAGGCTGCTCCCAGTTTCCAGCAGACAACAGGAAAATATTATATTCCTACTGCTTATTTACTGGCTCAGCAATTTTCTAGGCAAAAATTACTTCTTCAGCTGGGAAAAACAACCACTGGTCAAGAACTGTGCTGAGAAACTCCTCCTGCTGAGCCCTAAGATATTATCTGATTAGATTCTGTTCTGTTTTTCGCTCCTCTATGTTTAAACTGCTGTACCCTGCAAGTTGTGTCACAACATCCCTCTCCTACCAGCTCTCCACCCTGTGATGTTTTGTTAGAATCATGAGGAATTCAGTACATGATTAGGCCCTGGTTTTCCCAAGTTTATTTTTTTGAGCTCCATCCTCCCTTTCCTAACGTATGGTTTCCACTCTGACAAGTTCAGTGAGCTTTCTAATAGAAGGAGATACACATTATTTTCCTTTATTATCCATATAAGCTTCAGGTGGACCCTAAAATGTTTCATCTCAGGGGTGTGCAGGAATCACAAGGCCAGGTTTGTGTGAAAGCCCTGAACTCCGGAACAGCCGAGCGGATGTTTATGCAGAACAAAGTTGCTGGTTTATGCATTAGCTTTTTGATGTCCATAGGTTTCTAAGCCAGCACTTAAAAGTCACTTGAACACGAAGTAGGCAAATAAATAAAGATTACTAAAACTTTGTAGTTGAAACCTGGACATCATATACCTGGGAGCTTGGATTATTGTTTCTTAAGAAAACAGCATAGAATAAGAGGAAATATAACATAAAACATCAGATGTGACATGGAATGAATTAATTTAATCCCCCAAAGAAGCAGTTTCCATGTGTTCACTCCAGGCTTCCAGCAATGGCATTTCTAGTGGCATTTAGCTCACAGGAAACAAACCACAAATGACTCAAATTTACTAAGAGCGATGCTTGAAGCGTCATCTAAAACTGGAGAGTTTAGAATGTGCTTTTCTTCTGTTTTATCATAATTCCAGACAAACATAACTTCAATTATTAGCATGTGAAGAGCTGGAATGGCTCTGGGCTTATGCTGCGCTACTGTGCCTCTTGCCACGGTGGGATAGGATGTCTGTGTGTGCCAGAGGGATGGGAGAGCTGCAGAGCGCAGCCCTAAAGCTGGGATTAGGACACAGCGCTGGTCCCTTCGCTGAGTGGGAAACCCTCATGAAGGTGAAATTCTCATCTATAACCCTTCGCAGGGATCCTTTCTACAACCAAGTCTTTCTGCATGTGCTTTGCAGAACACCCTGCCCGCAGCAAAGCAATTTATCCAAGCTCTTGAAAGTTGCATTGTAAAAATGTGGAAGTTGGGCACCCACAGATAACAGCTCTGACCTTTCACTGTAATCGGCTACAATGAGTTGGGGCAGGTCAAACACAAGGCAGAGAGAGGGTCCCTCCAAACGAAAAACACCTTGAGCTGTGAAAACGCGATGCTCTCCCTTTCCCTGAGCCGTTCCAGTACCCGTGGGGCGGATGAACGGGTGGAAAATGCCCTGCTCGGGGTGTGTGTGGGGGAATTACCGCGTCCCTGCTCCCGGCTTGTCTTTCCCATAACTTGGGGAGCTGGCAATGACCCACACCCCACCGCCAGCCCCCCGCGGGACCGGGGCCGCCGGTGCCCTGTACCGGTACCCCCAGGGCGGCTCCAGGGGGGAAGGAGCGGCGGGAGCTGGTGCCGAGCCCCCCGCTTCCCGCTGCCGGGCACACAATGCCGGTGGCGGCGGAGCCGGGCAAGTGGCTCCTTCGGGGATGGGTAAGTGGCCAACGAAAGGCTCCCGGGGATAGAGGAAAGGGGTGGGGGGACGCGAAGAGAAAAAAAGGCCACTTACTCGGAAGGATCGAGGCTTTTCCTCTCGATGGCCGATGACATTGGCAGGGATTGTTCCTTTGTAGCGTGCCTGTGGTGGGATCTGCCCCCGCTGCCCCCGCAGAGGCTGTCTGCTCTCGAAGCCTTGTCACCAGCTGAGTTCCCCCTCCGCCCCCCAATGACATTCACAGGATTTCCTCCTGCAACACCAGAGAGAGAGAGAGAGAGAGAAATAAGGGCCGGGGCCGGGGCCGCTGCCGGGCCGGGCTCCGCGGCTACCGCGCTCTGACCTCCCATCCCCGCCGCGCTCCGCTGGCACGCCGGGCGGCGGAGCTGCTCCCGCGGCCGCGGGCGGCGAGCGGCTGCCTCGGCGGCCACCGCGGCCTCAGCCCGGAGCTCCCGGGGCTCCGCTCAGGCTTCCTGCCCGGGCAGCTCTGAACATGCTCCGGAGCCCGGTGGGTGCGCTGCAAATGGGGAGAACAGCATCGCTAGTATTATTATTACTCCGTGGCTCAGCCCCGGGTCTCTGGTTTCATTTCCTTTTTCCTGATCACGATTCAAATACAATAGAAGGAAATCACACTTAAAGAGACAGCTGCCCATTTCTTAACTGGACTCCTGGGGGTTTAGCAATACAAACAGCAGCATCACGACTCGCTGGGTTCCTTAAAGAGACAGAGCTGGGGCTCCTCAGAGCCAGGGCTGGGAGCTGGCGGTGCATTTTCACCTTACGAGGGCATTTCATAGCACTTTCTGGGTGCGGAAGGGGTGCTGCGGTAGGTAGGCAACCTGAAAATGATCCCAGCGGCTGGAAAAGAAGTGCCTGGTTCTCTATTACTGGTTTCTTCTCAGCTCCACACAGGACCAAAGCAACAGTCACCGCCTCTCTCCTCTCCCTCTCCTTCTCTTACATATATACGTACATACTCCCCCCCACACACGTTTTTGTGTGGTACTTTGAGACCCAGAGGTAAAGCACCCAAGGATTATTTTTCTACCTAGGATTCAAATTGAGCAACTAAATTGTGCCGCATTTATATCCCCAGGGAACATTTGCGGGTGTCTGCTTCTAGTTTTTGGCAAGCAATAGAACAAATTTGTATCTTGACACCATTTGATGTTAATGAGCTATAAAAGCCGGCGAGTACGAAGTATCGATCTGTAGTTAATCACAGAGAAGCTCAAGATGGGAAAGTCTTGCCTGAATATCTCTTCTTTCCCCTCCCACCCTTCCTCCTCTCCATCAGCACAGCACATCCCGGAAAGGATGGATTTACAGTGCCAGAGTGAAAACTATTACAGCAATGCGAGCGTTCCCCAGTCTCTATGGCATTAGATACTGGCTGATGCTGGAGGCAGAGTTCTGCCTGAGTTTGCCCTCTTAATTCCTTTAAAAACAGGAACAAAATATCTGTAATAAAGCACTAGTAGCAGAAATACTTCACTCCTATATTAATTCCCAAAAGAGAAATGTATTTGATGTCTATTTTTATGACTGCATTCTAATTTTTGCCAGCTAGGGATATAATATCTGCAATACATTAATGATCCTGATTCAGAGATTAGTAATGTCAGCAGAAGGACTGTTATTCATTCCAAGAGGCTTTGAACCAAGATCTCCCAATACTTTAGAGCCATCACTGGTCATTAGAACACATCTTTAAAAACATTCTCTCCAACGTATTTTAAGCTATTACAGCATGACAGTCACTCTTATTTCTGTTAAGGGAAAAGGCTCTCGTCATAGGTTTTTGCAGACAGGACCGAGTTATACAATGGCTATAGAATTTCTGATGTATTTACACTGTGATCTGAAAAGTAAAATGTAAACCTTTCCAGAAGATTGAATAACTAAACTATTGCAAGACAACACCACCCCCACCCCCCCACCCAAAAAAAAAAAACCAAAAAAAAATCAAAAAAAAATCTGCATTTATTCTGTTGGTTTAAAAAAATCAGAAATTGAATTTAAAGGTGGGTCAAAAACACGCATAAGGACTTGAAAGCTGCTTAAAATAGACATGTCTATGAGCTTGGTTTCTCTGGCTCTGTGCCTCAAGGCTTAATAAAGTATAAACTCTGAGTCAAAATTTCCCTCATGATTGGGGTATTCACATTCTGAATAGCTCCTGATGGAATAATGTGAACAATTCCATAATTTGAGGTCGGTTCGGGGGTTTCAGATGACACAGTTGTGCACACACACTGCAGACATACAGGCGTGCTGCCTCCTTTCTAGTCATTTCTTCAACATTCACAGGAAATTAATATATTGAAGACCTCTGTCCCTTTGTCTATCTAAAAGGGATCAGCTGGTTCCAAAGTTCTGGTGAGAGACAAAGACATCAACATTGGCACACAAGGAATGGCTGAATTCCTTAGAAAAATAACAGAACGACTTATAATACACAGTGGCCAGTGACTGTTGAAAGCCCACCTGTATTCCTTGCTTTGGTCAGACTACCTCAGGTCTAGCAGATAAGCTCCCTGAAGCTAATGAGATGTTTCTCACATTCATAGCTGAGTACTTGCATTGCTGGACAGACCAAGAGCACTTCTCTGGAAGATCAGTCTCTCAACTTACAGAAAGCTTTTCTGCATAAAACCAGTGGAAAACAGGGAGCTGTTTGAGCAAGTCCAGAAGAGGCCATGAGGATGATCAGGGGGCTGGAGCACCTCCTGTATGGAGACAGGCTGAGAACACTGGGGCTGTTCAGCCTGGAGAAGAGAAGCTCTGTGGAGACCTCATAGCAGCCTTCCAGTGTCAGAAGGGGCCTACAAAGATGCTGGAGGGGGACTCTTCATCAGGAACTGCAGTGATAGGACAGGGGGTGATGGGTTCCAACTGAAACAGGGGAAGTTCAGGTTAGTTGTAAGGAAGAAATTCTTTACTGTGAGAGTGGTGAGGCACTGGCACAGGTTGCCCAAAGAAGTTGTGAATGCTCCATCCCTGGCTGTGTTCAAGGCCAGGTTGGACAGAACCTTGGGTGACACGGTCTAGTGTGAGGTGTCCCTGACCATGACAGGGGGTGCTCTCCAACCCAAACCGTTCCATGATTCTATGATAAAAGCATGCAGTAAAGAAGCTGAAGACGATTTGGCTGTGTTTTATTGCCATCCTTTTCAGTCAGATCCAGAACAAATATTCCTACACAAAGTCAGCTCTTGAAGCACAGTACTTGCGGTAGTGTTGCCCCATGTCCCTGCAGATGCCATGTGTGTCCTCATCTAAAATAATTGCAATTAAACCCCTCAGATTATTTCTTGTTTTCTCTCTCTGCTGTGAAGGAGAGATGCTCAATGAAAGTCTGAGCTAAGAAAAGTGAAAAATAGCAGTCAATCTGCTGGTACATAACATAATAAATGTGTTACTCCACTGTGCTTAGTGGGGCAGAGCTCAAACTTGGTCTGCTAAGACAAAGAGTAACCAGAAAATGCAGCGTGACGGTTAAAGTTGTCAGTGTGCTTTGAGCAAAGCACACAGCAGAGACACCAGGCAACACCACGCATCAGGTTGGGTTTCAAACTAAACTGAAACATGGCTTTGCAGGATCTAGTGTGGGATGCAGAAGCTGCCAAGCAACAATGTCCTGGCCTCATGGATGTCTAACAGACTACTGGGGGGTTGTTCCAGTGGCATTACTGGAAGCACCTTTTGTTCATGTTTCTATGCTGGCATTTAGTGCCAGTTCCTGCTGGATTTGCAGCAAAAAGCCCCACAAAAAGGTCCTCAGCATGCCAACCAAGAGCTGCATCTTCTAATAGCTTTGAAGGACAAACATACACTTTTTGGGGACAATTCAGTTTTCATTTCTTGGGTTTACATATACTAAATTCTTCCTCTGGACAGTGAAGTTTGTCATTTCCATCTGAGGACTCTTGTGTCCCACTGGGATAGGTGACCAGCAATCAAAAGCAACTTCTTTTTCTCACCTCGAGCAAGTCCCTTAATACCTCTTTGCCTCAACATTCCCATCTGCAGATGTTTACTTCCCTCAGCAGAATTAGCTGTTGATTTACTTTTGCCTCCTGCTGAATAACATTCCCAAAGACAAAGCATTATTCAGCACTACAATTGTTGGTGCCGACGTTTCCTGCACAGGGACAAAAAGAGCAGCACTATTTTTAGTGAGGGCTTTTCTTTCCATTGTCCCTTTCTCTGTGAAGCTGTATTTTCCAGTGCTTTTTAGTGCAGCTTTTGTTGTGTACATGGATTGAAAATCCTAAGGGACGAGTTTTGGCTTCAGTTAACTTTTATTAATCAAGATCACGCTATAGCCTAATCTCTCATGGCTGAGATCAAACACACTGTTAGTAACTGCATTTAGCATTTAGTACTTGGAATAGCATGCCATGAATAAGTTGGCTAGACTTTTCTAGGTATTGCTCTATAAGAACATTTGATGTAAAACTGCATCATTTCTATGAGTGGTGTAATCTAAAGAAATAGCTCAATGTGCCTGTTTCCAAAGAAACCTCCTGTCTTGGACTCAGTATTTTCAGCTTGGTTTTGGAAGGCCACTGGTTCATCATCATCACCACCACTGAGTCTCAGGTTGCTCCTACCTTTATTTCTTTAGTATATCCTAGCTTTATTCTCCCTAGAGCTTATGGATGCAATTGAACTATTTCAGGTTACCCTCATTTAGAGGAGTCTGTGTTCAGTAAGATTAACTTTGCTGTCCTTAATAGCCAGAAATGCTGGTTGCCTAAACTGCAGTTTATGGAGATTGAAGTCTCTGCATAAATAGAAGAATTAAATCTCAGTGACAGTGGCCTAGATTTTCTGCTAATGCTTTCTGTGGGATAGGAAATTCCAGACCATGACTAAAGGTGAATGGTTAACATGAAAGGTGGCAAAGAGGAATAAGGATTTCTGTCATTTGGGCTGTGTTCTGCTTCTGACACACCATCTGCTGTTAGAGTATCTCTGCTCCACTCCATTCTTTAATTTACCTATTTGCAAAATGGAAGAATCCTTCTTCCCACTGCACATCGGACTGAAGCTTTGACACTTCGGGTGCCAGCCCTTTGGATGATGCTCTAAAGAAGTGGAAATTTTAGCTCTAGAAATGGATCTAGAAATTTCTTTCTTACCCAGTAATTTCAAGTCTGGACTGGGCAGTCTTCACAAGTGCTGGTTTGTTTGATTTTGGTTTGGTTTTGTGCTTTTTTCATATGACAGACTCTGCATCATTCCCATAGCTGGCATAATTTCTAACCTCCATGAGGATAAAAGAGGTGATATAGAAAGGATAAGGAGTTTTCCTGGAGTGATGACTACATGCACTAACTTGAATATACATTGGAGGCTTTTGGTAAAGTATGATTCAGATGACTGAAAGACTCCTGACCAAGGATGCACTTCTCTTTTTGGGGGTTAACCTTTCTTTTGAACTGGAAGAAACCAAACCAGAACAGTAAAAACCGCACTCAGGGTGAGGTTTGCCGTGGGATTGTGAGGTCCAGACATTAGATAAGAAGCCTGGTGCATAAAGAAGTTGCAGCAGTTACAAAGTTTTGGGTCGTTTTGCATTATTTTCCTCATCAG